TGTGAGCCGCCCTGAGTCCCTCTGGGGAGAAGGGCGGCATAGAAGTTTAAATATAAATAAATAAATAAATAAATAAGAGGTTCAGATTGCACACACACCCCCCCAAAAAGAGCAAACAGAGGGATCTTTTGTGGGCTGGGAATCTGGGACTGTTGTTTTCTTTTAAGTTTGCTCCCCCCCCCAGTGTCATAACCAGGATAGATAAAGATCACAAGTTGCAAGTCACAAGGGTCCCACCCTACAGGTAGTCCTTGAACCTACAATCATTCGTTTAGTGACCATTCAAAATTACCTGGCAAAAATGACTTCACACTTAGGACCATCGCAGCATCCCCATGGCCATGCGGTCAAAAAGCTTGGCGACTGGCTAATGACAGTTTGCAGGATCCCAGGGTTGTGTGAATGCCACTGCAGCCTTCTAACGTGCAAAGTTAAAGAAGTCAGATTCACTTAACATCCGTGTTACTAACCACTGCAGTGATTCATTTCACAATTGGGGTAAGAAAAGTCATAAACTGGGGCAAAATTCACTCAACTGCCTTGCTTAGCAATGGAAATTTGGGGCTCTGTTGTCGTCGTAAGTTGAGGACCACCTATCCATATGACCCAAAGAGGCTGTGCTAGTAGCCAAAAGCAGACTTGGGAAGCATCCCTTTTATAGGGAGATATCCTGGTAAGGAAGCCAGCTTCACTAGTTAGAAATAAGGAGCGGAAAAGAACTCTTTTGCAGTTATCTCGTTAGAAGATTGCTGCTTGAGGAAGCTGTCCAGAAAATACTCCCAGGATCCTGTTTCTTAGATCTCAGATCTGAGATCTCCAGGAATGCAAGCTTGCTTAGAGGCCAAGTTTGCTCTTCTTGTCAAGGGCCAATTCCAGCTTCTAAAGATGTTGCTGAACTGACTTGAACACTGGGCGCTATCTAACAAAACGAAGTTCAATGGTGAAAAAAGCAAGGTTCTACATTTAGGCAAGAAAAACCAAATGTAAAGGTATAGTATAGGGGGAACCTTGCTCAATAGTAGTAACTGTGAGAGGGACCTCGGAGTCCTAGTGGACAATACACCTAAATATGAGCCAGCAGTGTGCTGCAGCTGCCAAAAAAGCCAACACAGTGCTAGGCTGCATTAACAGAGGGATAGAATCAAGATCATGTGAAGTATTAATACCACTTTACAAGGCCTTAGTAAGGCCACACTTGGAATACTGCATCCAGTTTTGGTCACCACGATGTAAAAAAGATGCTGAGACTCTGGAAAGAGTGCAGAGAAGAGCAACAAAGATGATTAGAGGATTGGAGGCTAAAACATATAAGGAACGGTTGCTGGAATTGGGTATGTCTAGTTTAACGAAGAGAAGGACGAGGGGGGACAGGATAGCAGTCTTCCAGTATCTCAGGGGCTGCCCCAAAGAAGAGGGAGTCAAGCTATTCTCCAAAGCGCCTGAAGGCAGGACGAGAAGCAATGGATGGAAACTGATCAAAGAGAGAAGCAACTTAGAACTAAGGAGAAACTTCCTGACAGTTAGAACAATTAACCAGTGGAACTCCTTGCCTCCAGAAGCAGTGAATGCTCCAACACTGGAAGTTTTTAAGAAGAGACTGGACAGCCATTTGTCTGAAATGGTGTAGGGTTCCTGCCTGAGCAGGGGGTTGGACTCGATGACCTCCAAGGTCCCTTCCAACTTTATTATTATTATTATTATTACAACATTTGACTGGGATCGTAAAAGGACTAGAAGGCCTCCGAAGTCCCCCTTCCAGCTTGGATTCTACATTGTCTAGAAACTTTAGCTACGCCAGTTGTTGGAAAAGGCAACTCAACGTTTAGAAGGCTACTGGTTCCCTTGAGGTCCTCCCACTGCTCTGTTGTACCAGTTTTTGGGGAGAGCAAGGACCTCCAGTCTTGGCACTACCTCTCCCCTTTCTGCTGACAGTCAGTCTGGCTGGCTCAGAAGAAGAGTCCAGTCAACAAAACAAGACCTCTTTGATGCATCTTTGAACGTGGATGGGTTCTTCCAGAGCTTCAACAGGCTAAATGTAGCCTGTGCCGTGGGATGATAAATCAAAAACCCTTGGTGATTTGTGCAAAATCATCCAGAAAGCCTCCATTTGCCTTTTT